CCTTTTTGGGGCTCGGGTACTCAGCCCCCAAGATACAAGGGAACTGACAGCTGCCTGACAGGTCTTGTGCCCGTCGCAGTGGCACCACACGCAGAAGCTTGGGACGGTTGGAGCGTTATGTGTGTGTGTGTCTCGAACGTCATGCAAAGCGCAACTAGGAAACTTGTATATGGATTTCTGGTAGAGGTCCTGCAAGGAGGGGCCATTGCGATTGTACTTCTTTAGTTGGAGACCTTCACTGATCAGGGGTGTTGAACAACTACCATATAACACTTGCTGACACACCGCAGACCCTTGAGTTTCGAGTCAGGCTAGCTTAATCCCACCAAACAAGATGGATCAGAATAGTGCGAAGCCTGAATCTTGCTGCCTATATTACTACAGTCTTCCCTAGGGCTCCTCAGTACGATCATACTGTGATATCTCTCGTACCACTGGGGAACCCAAACATGGAACCTCTGTTGCCCTGAATCCTAAAACCCTAAAGAATCCTAAAACCCTAAAGCATCCTAAACCCCTAAAGCATCCTAAAAGCATCCTAAAACCCTAAAGCATCCTAAAACCCTAAAGCATCCTAAACCCCGAAAGCATCCTAAAACCCTAAAGCATCCCAAAACCCTAAATCATCCCATAGTCTGACATCAGAGTCCGTCCCTGTCAGGAGCATCTTCAAGCATGGTTGAGGTTGGTGTTCCTCTTACTTTTTGTAGGAACGCCAGTCTCGTATAGAAGTCCTAACTGGGACCCTAAACCCCTAAACCCCTAAACCCTAACTGGGACCCTAACTGGGACCCTAACCCCCAAAGCCTTAAACCTTTCGAGGCAGGCTTTCAGCAAAAGCAACTAACCTTTCTCCTCCCTCTTCCACCCTAAACCCTAGACCCTTCTAAAGGGAGCCATGGACATAGTAAGGCCTGAGAGACTTTACTTTGAGCTTGAAGTTTGAATGCTTACCCATACCATTCCACATAGGGTTTAGGGGTTTAGGGTTTAGGGTTTAGGTTTAGGCAGGCAGCTTGCCAGAAGGTCCGGCAGTTGCTGGGGCAGAAGACCCGGAAAGTCGACCTCACCAAAGGTGAAACGGCGAGAGCTGGCGCTGGATCTTCCGGCCTCGGCCGCCTGATCGGCAAGAACTGCTTCAGCCTGCTGGAGAGGTTCCACCGGAAGACTCGTGCACAGTGTCCGTCCTGGGCCCGGGCTCGCGGCTGCATTCTGGGGCCGGGAGCGGTTCGTGGAGCGAATCTGCTCGAGTGGCGCTCAGAGGGGTCTGTCGCTCGCAGCTTCGCCGACATGGCGGTCTCCTTCGATTCTTGCCAGAAGCATGCTCGCACACTGCGCGCCGTGTTTCGAGCAGAGATAGCCCCGCAGTCGGAGCTTGGATATTCCTGACGAGGTGCGGCAGCTGTTGTGCATAGCCGGCCAAAGCTTGGGTTTCAGTATGATAGTTCTATCAGGGTTTAGGGTTGAGATTCTTGTATCAGGTACCGGTCTGGAGGTTTAGATCCTTGTGTAAGATCCCACCCCAAACCCAGTCAATGATTCAGGCCCCTGTGTTAGGGGTCGTGGGGTTGCCGTCGGTTTGGATTTTGGGCGTGGTTCCGGGGAGAGGGTTCAAAACACCCACTTTTCTTGGCGTTCTTCTGGTTGGCTTTTAGGACTCTGACTTTGTGGGTTTCTATATGAACTATAATAAGGAGACTAAAAGTTCAACTTCTTTGGAGGGGTTCAGAAGTCAGCCAAGTAGGACTGAAAAAGGCAATCATAATACGGAACCCTAAACAGGTGGGTCATTCAGGTAGGGTTAGTGGAGTCTTATTTGACTTTTCGGCTAGGGAGTGTTCGACGTTGAAACAGTGGTCCTCTTTCTAAGTGCGCAGACTGCCAAGGTGGGTTCCAGGTTAATCTTAGGGGCTGAGAAGGTGACCTTTAAACTTTTGGGGCTAATATAAACCTACCATAATTCAAAAGGTTTAACCCTTTTTGGGCTAAGGTACTCGGCCCCTAAGTAATAGTATGTGGGGATATGGAGTGCGATTGCAAACTTTAGGACTTAAGGCAGAAGAGCAGCTATCAGAAGCATGACGTGGACTCTTCGACACCTAAGGAACTTTGACGATACCTCGGCTGTTGGCGACACCGACACCTTCACAAGGGAGTTCCAGCAGGAATACAGCATCGGCCCTGGGAAGCCATGAGTTTGGGTCGGAATACACACCTAGGTCCACGGTTTAGGGTTTAAGGGTTCAGGGTTTAGGGTTTAGGGTTTAGGGTTGGATGTTGACAGGGTCCTTTATTCAAGATTCCCTAAACCCGAACAAACACGTTGAACCCTAAAGTATCGTTGAAAAAAGAGCTCCAATGCAACCTCATCAAGCCCTAAATCCTTGACCATAAAAAGCCCCTACACCCCCCGAAGCCGGATTCCCGAAGCCCACCATCTCGATGTTTCTCTGTACCGGCCAGCTCTTGCCCTCAACTTTGGGTTTAGGGGTTCGGGTTTTGGGTCTAGGAGTTGGCGGTTTAGGGTTTAGCTTTAGCTTGGCGTATCACCGCGTAGCTCTCTCCGCAGGGTCGTAATTATGAACCCTAAACCCTAAACC